CGAGCACAAGCAGGAGACCACCAAGGCACGCATTTCTGAGAATGCCTGCCCGAAGTTTGGGGTATAGAATGAGAAGCTGCGGTGAAAACAGAGGACGAGAAGAGGTGTAAAAGCTCATCGATGGAGGACGAAGAAGGAACCTCTCTAAAAACAGTTAGGTGTGAGTAAAGGTTCCAATTTGCCCAATTAAATTGCCAGCGTGGGGTGCGAAGAGGTGGCGAATATGAAGGGGAAGTAAGAATGATTGGGAAATGATCACTGTCATGTAAGTCCGGGAGAACAGACCAAGTGAAGTCTAATGCGGCAGAGGAAGAGCAGACAGAGATCGATGCAAGAGAGAGTATGAGTCCGAGGATCAAAATGGGTGTGAGTACCTGTATTTAAAACATGGAGGGGGTGGGTGGCAAGAAAAGCCTCTAACTGAATTCCACGGGAATCACAGTGAGACCCCCCCCCCAGAGGAAATGGTGGGCATTAAAATCACCAAGTAACAGAATCGGTGGCGGTAATGACGAAACAAGGAAGGCAATATCCGGAATAGATAATGCCCAAGAAGGAGAGAGATATAAAGAACAGAGCGTATACCACCTATGTAAGTGGATACGGGCTGCTGTGTAATGCAGCGAAGTATGAACAAATAGCTGATGGTACGGAATATCAGTGCGTAGAAGAAGGGCACTTTCATTAAAGGTCCCATCAGGAAAAGGATCTGAAGAATACAATAAATTATAGCCTGAGATGGGAGAAATAACAGCAGAGTGTAATTTTGGTTCCTGTAAGCAAACACCAACAGGGGAAAACTGGGAGAGTAACATCTGAAGCTCACCCCGATTACCCCTGAGGCCGCATATATTGCACTGTAAATAGGCCATGATTGGCAATGATAAATATACTTGAAATCCGCAGGTAAGGGTTCCTACGGACTAGAGGGGTTAGAAAAGTCCACATGCGGAGGCAGTGGAAAACGTTCAAGCAGCGAAGGAACGGTGCGCTGTGAAGAAAGGAGTTGTGCAGATGGAGTAGAGGAGAGAGAAAGAGCGGAAGGTGGATCAGTGTCCATTGATGGTTTGGTCTCTGCAATATATTCAGAGATTGCTTCAAGTGTTTCGGAATTCAGAGACATCGTATGGGAGAATATTGGAAATGGTAGGGGAAGGATGAGTAAAGATTGGAACTGTATTGGACTGTACCAAGGTAGGGGGGGGGGCGAAAGGGTGGAGGGAACTGGAGAAGCGTGGCAGGGGACAGAAGAGGCAGGAACCTGGGAGGTGGCAGAAGAGGAAGAAACTTGGGAGGGAACAGGGGAGGAAGGTACAGTACGAGGAGGAGGGTGAACCTCTACACTTGTAACTGAGCCAGTGAGAGGGGGAGAACCAGGGACAGAGACAGGGAGGGTAAAATGAGGAGGTGGAAGATGGGTAGGTGTTAACGGACCTTTTTTTTACTTTTGAGAAGTAGAGGGACGATTGGGAGGAGGTGTCGTACGAGGTCTCGTCGATACTGAGGCTTGAGAGAGAGAACACGAAGAAGCGAGATCAGACTGAGGCGTTGAAGTAGGGACGTCTGAGCCGAGGACAGCAAAAGGATTAGATACAGGAGTGACTATGGGAGAGGTAACCACAGAGGTGGGTGTAGAAGATGGGATACCAGAAGTGGGGGGACGTTTTGAAACACGGGAATAAGAAACACGTGGGAGTCTCCCTTGGAGGCGGAGATGAGAAACTGTCATGGCATAAGGGAGACCTTCTGTCTCTTTGAGGTAACGGATTTCCCGCTCGTTTAAATAGACTTGACAATGGCGAGAGTATGAAGGGTGAGCCTCATGACAGTTAAGGCAAGAGGGAGATCGATTGCAAGACGTATTAGAATGGTCATCGGCACCACAGACTGGGCATTCGGCGATAGATCTGCAATATTTCGCTGGATGGCCAAATCGCCAGCAATTTCTACACTGTTGTGGTGTAGGGATCACCTTTCGAACTTGTAACCGATGTCCTGCTATATAAACTGAGGATGGGAGTTCTCGGCTGTCAAAAGTTAAACGAGCCACATTGCTAGGGTATCGTCTCCGCCCGTGGGCAGGAAGAACGTAAGTGTCTACCTTGAGGATTGGGAGATCTTGGAGTTCCAGCTGTTCAAGAATGTCAGTGCCACATGTCTGGAAATTTTGTTGAACTATGGTATGGGGCAGAATGACGGTACCACTACAAGAATTGAGGGAATGATGTTTTTCAAGAGTGACAGGAACAGTATCGATATGGGAAAGACGAGAGAGCTCATGAACCTGGGTAGCATTCTGTACGGTAATGATGCGCGTACCGCTCTTAAGAGCATGAAAAGAAATATCTTTACCAACATGGCGTAGGAGTGCCTTGCCAATACCGTGGTCAGAAAGATAGGCAGTAGAGGAAGTCGGTCGTAAAGTAAAGAATTTAGTCCATTGTTCAGTCTGAAACTGAGCGTGGAAAGGTAGTGAAGGACGTGTCGATCGTTTCTGAGAAGAACGAGAAGGTGGAGAAGTATCATCAGCAGGTAATTGTCGTTGGCGTTTAGGCGTGGGACCAGAGTTGGTCCGACGTGGAACGGGTCGGCGATTTGAAAATTGCCGCACCGTAGAGGGAGAGGCCGGAAGCATAGTCAGAGGAGAGCGAAGGTCCGATAAATCGAAGGAGTCAGTCGAGGCCTCAGTACCTGAAGCGGGTGAGGAAACAGCACCAGCAATAGGTACAGAGGCATGAGGAGTGTCTGAAGAGTGGTCCAAAGACAAGGCGGGGTCAGAACAGGGTGCGGTATCAAGAAGGGGCCCAGGGGTAGTAGGTTCATGGACTAGGGCTGCCATGGTTAGGTTACTTCTTTCTTTTTGTTTTTAAGAAAAAAAAAGAAGAAAAGAAAATAAAAATAAAAAAAAAGGATAAAAAAAGGGGGGACCGGGGAGGGATAGTTCCTAGGAGGAATGAAAGGGCCAGAAATCTCCCTCCATGCCCAAGAGGACCTCAGCGCCGCAAGTAGCGCAGATGCAGCATTTAACCCATGCCATACCCTACCCATCATGCTAGTAAACTAACAATCCGGGATAGCAACCTCACATCTGCCGAGCTACCTCGGTGGACAAAAGAGAGGGCGGCCGGATATCCGCCACAAAGCATACCTCCTTCGGCCACCACCCCCGGAATCGGAAAGGTGGCTTCCAGAGATACACCCGTCGCCCAAAAGACACCCAAAGCTACTCCGGGATACCGGAGAGGGATCGGGACATCCCCAGGCGATCCAGATTCCACGACACACTACGCCACCGCCAAGAACCTCAACGGAATGGGATAGACCCCAGTATCCTTTCCCCTACCTAGGAACTAGCGCGCCTGTGGGAGAAATCCCAAAGGCCAAAAAGAGGAAGGGCAAAAGGGAGGGGTGGGGAGGAGGAGGAGGAAAGGAAAAAGGGGAGGATGGGGAGGATGGGATAGGGGAGGGGAGATTGGGGGGTAATTAGGTTCGGTCTGAGGAAGAAGACCGACAGGTCTAATTCCTCAGACCAAGAGCCTCTTCACCACGCCAAGGAGCCCCCCTTGAAGAGGTTGATTCTAGAGATAGGCAGAAGATAAGGGAAGTTATGATTATGATGTACAAGATATTCACAAGAATTGATAGGGCGGACAAGGACGACTGTTTGAAATGTGAGGACCAAATACAAGGGAACAGATCCTAAAATACACAAATGAGGCACAGAAATATTACGAAGTTTTTCAGCCAGAGGGAAGCAAGGAAGTGGAAAGAACTGTACGTGAAAATGGTGAGGCCAAGATGTATACATAGTTGTAAAAAGGATACATTATACAGGACATATGACGACTGTATAATGTATCTTTCCATTACTGTACTTGTCTGTACCAATACCTTAATTTCCAGCAAGAAGAATATGGCTAAAATTGCCAGAAACCAGTAATGCCTGTCAGTGAAGGTTAAGGTAGGCCCAGGAGCCAAGACTTAACCACTGTGAACAAGTTAGCGACTACAAACACAAAGGCGCACCCACACGTAGGTAGTTATTCATAATGTACAGTAACATAGGTAATTGACAGGTACACCCACATCTATGCTCACTCACACCCACACAAACCTTTATTAAAGGATAACAGGTTCCTAAACAGAGGTGGTTACTGGAAGCAATAAGGAACAATTATAAAAGGCTACACATGAAACATGTTTACATATTAGTAATAATCAAAACAACTTCAAGGTTATTAAAACAAATGGGAGTATTTATTTAGTTATGTGGCATCATTGTTCATTTTTTGTCATTCCCTTCTATATTTTCTTTTTCTTTCTCCTACAACTTCTGTCACTCCTTCCCCAAGTTGTCACCCTCTTCTCATCGTGTTAACATCCCCTTTTTATTCTGTTACTTATCCCCCCTTTCATCTTGTCACTACTCCTCCATCTTCTATCACCTTTTCCATTTTGTCATTCCTCCAGCTACCGTTATACTCCATCTGTTGGAGGACCTGGAGATCGCTCTCCCTCTCTCTCTCTCTCTCTCTCTCACAACACACACACACACACACACACACACACACACACACACACACACACACACACACACACACACACACACACCTGTCCTTTCCCGACACGGGTATACCATCCCATCCCAGGATTTCCTTGCGTCTCGTAGCAGGGGTCTCCTAGTGCCCCTAGCCAGCAATTTCCGATCTTGTTCCCAAGTTCTCAGAACCTCGTATCATCTTCGACATCTACCACCTGAACTACCAGTGATGACCCATTACTGGGGACATCTTCCACACTGCCTCCTTCCCTCGCATCGTGCCCCTAGAATGGCCGATAAGGAACTGTTTGGTACGACGCTGAAGGTCGTTGCCTCTGATGTGAGAACCATCTTTCCCCAGAGCCACCGGTGACGAGCATCTGGTACTGGAGCGGGTCTCCCATTCCATTTCCACCATCTCCCTCCCCCCGCTTCCCCACCCAGCTGCCCCAAAACCTACCGGTGACGATCCATTTGGTACTGGGGTCGTCGCATGACGAGGAGGCGCGGGAGGATGTGTATAAAGACCCTCCTGACCCAGGGCGCCATTGAATGCGTCTGCGGGGAGCGGAAGTGAACGTTCAACACCACCACCGTCACGCAGATGCTGCCGGGGGAGGAGCTGGTTAGTGATACACACCAGGAGCTTTACACTTGACGCTGGCTGCTGACATTGCGCTGCACTCCTGAAGAAACTGGTTATTGACACTTACCAGGAGCTTCACTCCTGAAGGAGGAACTGGTTACCGACACTTGCAGCTTTTCTCCTGAAGAGCTACACGCACTAACACACATGTACAACACTTAGGTATCTTCATGGTCAAAAAATTTTGCGGACAATAACTTTTCCAAGTGCTGTACATATCTGTTTTGCACATCAGCTTATCAGTATTACGTACCTTTGATAATATAATATTCAGTCAGCGAGTCAAACACGCCGCTCTGATATTATGGAGCTAAATTGGAGAGGGTCGTTCAAGGAATGATCAGGTCTTGATCCTGCGTCAGAAACGGGGTTAGCGCTAGTTTAAGAACATAATGAATATAAGTTTACATTTACTAACACGTAAATAATCCTCTATAGTAATGCGAAGACAAAAGGAATTATGATAAAACTGAGGGAGAAAGACGTCAAGTTACCTTTGCTTCCGAGGTTTCTAAGTACCATGATGGTAATGCTGGAGCAGTGGTAAGAATGAATGGGAGAGTGTTGGTACCCGGGAATCAGGCGAATCTTCTAGGGGTGAAATTTGATTCCAAACTGCTTATGAAGATCCACGTGGTAAATCTTGCAAGCAAGGTAGCCGAGAAGCTAAACAGCATTAAGGGGTATCTCGTATCTGCTCGACAGCAGAGGCTGCGACACGGTATGAAGCACAAGTGCGTTCACACCTTGAGTACGCTCCATTGTCTTGGATTGCCTTTCCCACCCTTCCCCCGTTTCATCTACGACTTCTGGACAGAATAGACAACTGAGAAAGATGACTTATCTTTCGCCTGGACCCAGTTTGGATAGATCTGTCAGTTTAGCAGAGCCTTCAACACTGTAGAGATGCAAGTGGTCATCTGTTATGTGCATATCTAATGTTGTTTAGGTACCACACTTGGCTCTACCTCGATAACAACGAGAAGACGGCTTGTACACAATAAGTTGGGCACCAAGAACAGCGCTTCATCCGAGATTATTTATTCCTAGAATGATTAGTCTGGAACATGCTTGAACAGCATAACGACACTGATGTGAAATAAAGTCAGATGACCAAATGAAATTGCTGGCTCACAGATGGCCCTAACTTCATCCTATTCCGTGTTTATGTTTCATAATAAAAATGGCTTTCAAATGATCTGAGGTTGGTAACAGCTCTTAGCTAGTAAATAAAGGTGGGAACCCTTAACATAACCCTGTAAAACCTTGTGTAAAAATGAGAGAGAGAGAGAGAGAGAGAGAGAGAGAGAGAGAGAGAGAGAGAGAGAAGAGAGAGAGAGAGAGAGAGAGAGAGAGAGAGAATGAGGAAAGTCCATATTATAACATTATTATTACATTCAGTCACAGGAGAGTGCTAAACCCGAAGCCACACAGCTCCTGGTGGAACTTGAGCACACCAGAAGGATGATATCGGGATCAGTCTTCCACTCACCCCCTCCCCAGCGGCCCAATCCCAGACCAGGCCTCCGGAAGGCAGTTCGATCCAAGCGAAGACCAGGTTCCAATTCCTCGATCAGGAACTCCCCTCATCGGCATCAGGGAACCTCTCTTGAGGGGACAATTCAATTCAATAAGAGTAAACATAAGATTACTCGACCTAGTCCTGGGAAGTAATACTTCACGACCAGTAAACTCAAACAAATGGAAGGTGCAGGTTCCAAGGAGAAACCATCTTATAGACCACAACATGGGAATGCATGGCCGTGAGAGCATAAAACTAATTAGGATGGTGGTTATTGGTTTCACCAGAACAGAAAATGAAAACCAGTTTTATCCATCTCAGATTAGATTTACATTTTGTCGCCGAGTCGGCTAATTTATGGATATACAAAAGGCCTAGGGACTAGGCCCCAAAGCGGTTTACGGGAGTACATCTGGACTTGTATGTATAGTTGACTTATCTATTGCAAGCAAATTTAGGATGTGACACCTTGGCTTCGGCGACAGATTCACGTTTGGCTATGAACGGACAGAGGATCGAGACTCCACCACCCCACGCGCTAACTGATCGAACTTCATTTGTTTCATATGAACGTGTAAAATGAATCTTGTGTCACAGGCGCTGAGGGTGAACGTTATTGGTAAACATTACAACATTTCTCATGACTGGTAACATCTGGAAGCGAGTGATTCCGATCATTCTCTGCTCAGCTGAAGACATCATTCTTGCATATCGATGTTAATGAGACACTTGGGTATCTTTACTCTGGAAACATTTCGCCAGCCAGTGGATTCTTCAGTCTAGAGAAAAGTGGAAGACGAGGAGTTTGAGGTTATCAGTCCATCAGCCTGGAGTCGACGTGTCCAGTCAATTTATAAACTTGTCGTTTTTCTAAATAATTCATATATATTGACGGTTCGTAAGCTGTAAAAAGCCTCATTACAACCTGGAATGTATTAAAGAATACCGAGACTTGTGTTAAGTAATTTAATAGAAGTACGTGTTAAATAATTCATAGAATTTTATATTATATAATTTATATCATTCTGCGTTATACAATTTATAGAAGTCTGTGCTATAAAATTTATAGACTTAAGTACTACACAATTCGTAGAATTGTGCGTTTTACATGAAGTAATTCATAAGATTTTTGTTCCTATATAATTCGTTAAATTTCATGATAGACAATCAGTTTAATATATTAAAACCGTAATATCAGTGCCATGTTGAGTGTCCGCCTCTGGCTACATAACAGACCGTAGATGAATGGTTCAGAGAACCGACATGTTGATTTATCAAGTTGGTTTATCAACATGTCGGTTCTCTGAACCATTCATCTACGGTCTGTTATGTAGCCAGAGGCGGACACTCAACATGGCACTGATATTACGGTTTTAATATATTAAACTGATTGTCTATCATGAAATTTAACGAATTATATAGGAACAAAAATCCTGTCCGACACAGCAACATCTTGGGATCTTAATACAGGGAATTCTTCACTTGCCTAACCCTTGGGCACGACCTACTTCCACATTGGACAAATGTGATACCACCTATGTCTGCTGCACCTCTCTCCTGCCTACGATATATAAACTGTATGCTGTTTTTCTTTTCAAGATTGATGGACTGACCACATCGACTCAAGGCTGAGGGACTGATTACCTCAAACTCCCCCTGTTCTTCCCCGTTCTCTTTTGTATGGACTGATGAAGCCACTGTGTGGCGAAACGTTTCCTCAATGAATCTACATAACAGACCGTACAAGATCAGAGGGGAAAAAATATCTTACCTTAACGTGTCCAATATCATGGTAAACAGCACGAATTTGCCCAGTAACGGCACCACCAGCGACGTCGGCGGGATAATTTCTGCCAACAGCAGGAAGAACACAGTGAGGGAGAGCAGAATACTGATGGACAAGCTCACCTGTGGGGGGCAAGATGAGCACAGTGAGAGAAATCACGTTGGAGGAAAGCTCACATGTGAATTAGATGAGCATGCATGCATATATATATATATATATATATATATATATATATATTATATATATATATATATATATATATATATATATATATATATATATATATATATATATATACAAATATTGATATTTATGTATTTTGATTCACAGGTGTAGTTATCTACTCGTGGTGTCCCGCCTTCAATAATCTGGTCACACTTTTTAAATTTTTCTATGGCTGAAACACTACAAAATCATTTAATTCATTCCACTCATCAATCATAATTGAGGAAAAATATTCTATCATCTTTTGCCTCCACTTTTTTTCTCAGTTTACAACTGTGGCTTCTTATTGTTAGGTAAAAGGACACAAGTCCAACTAATGTGACTTTTTTTGTGGCAACGTTTCGCTCTCCAGGAGCTGTGTCAAGCCGTTACAAACAATACATGGACACAGAGGGTATATATAGGTTCAGAATGAGGTGTAAGGCACAATACAATCGTAGTAGTAGTAGTTGTACCACTAGTCGCAGTAGTAGTTGTAATCCTAGTGGTAGTAGTAGTAGCAGTGGTAATACACTTGACAGTAATAGTCGACTTGCATGGGTAGCATTAAAATGGGTTGGGCAAATAATTTTGTCAGTAGGTTGGATTTTAGAAGGTTTGCTTCAGTGTATCTCTGTCACGTCATGTAGTATCAGCAGCAGCAACTATGTAATGGCGGGGTTTGTTGTTTTGAAGAGGATTCTCACTAATACTTCATAGATGATGAAGCTGCCTATATTATTGCCCCCCTGTCGCCCTTTTGGCATGAATTTAAGCACCTCTACACTCTCCTCTTTTTCCACACTTATCTAATACCAATATTACACCCAATTAAATCCGATTTAACTCTCACCACTATAATTCCTAATGGCTACAACCATAGTTTTTAAAGGGTGGACCAGTAAGCCAGCGGAAGGCCTGCGGGTCATCATGTGACATACCCGTGCCAGGAAACACTTGTCCTGTTTCCTGATAAACCCTATCTCCCCACTGACTCCTGCACCCTACTATGTTCCCTGTCTTCCTATCAGTCAGCTGAGGCATCGCTAGTGCTCTGTTGTTGGAAAGTACTTTGTTATTTTTTTAATTTTTTTTCAATTATCCATGTTATTAATTTAAAGGTACCACACCATCGCCTTACATACCATACATACAGCAGTTCTCCTATCAGCCAGTGTGGACATCTTTGCATAGCGCCAGAAACTACAAGTACTATCAAAACTGACAAAGAACTCTAGTGACAGATCTGAGAGTACAAAAACTCTCGGAACTCAAAGGCATATCAAAAGTACATCAAAGGCATATCAAAGGTATATCATGTGGTATAGATATTAACCAAATACGAAAACACAAAAAAAAATTAATATAATAATAATATCTTTATTTCTACAAGTACATGGTATGGAAGTAATTGGTATAAAATACCGACACAATGAAAAAATAAACACACAAGCAGTATATGATCCTTTATTGATAATGTTTCGCCCACACAGTGGACGAAACGTTGTCAATAAAGGATCACATTATACTGCTTATATGTTTATTTTTCCAAGTACAAGGTATACAGTCCTAGCTGACATCAATGACATACTTGTACTATCATACAGAAAGCAAGCTTGTTGTGCAGACCATTTCGGGCATATTAGGTCAGTTGATCAAGACAGCAGAGTAACGACAACAGTAAGAAGTAAATTAATATAAATTATTAATGGACAAATGCTATCCAGAGCAACGTTGTTTGTCTAGAGTCACGTGTTATATGTCTACTGCTACATCAAGGGCATCATAACTGTGGGCAACACCTGCCATCCAACACGCAAATTTTTGCTGCCACAGTAACAGTTTCTGGCGAGGTAACAGGTCAAAACAGTTTCTCCTCCTGTTTAAAGTACCAGCAGAGCTCCGGGCAGGTAAGAGCACTGCCATTTCTGAGAAATGAATGAATCGATTATATCGAATTTCTAATTATTGAAGTTGGTTCCGTATCTGGTGTTGCTGGTTCTGAGCGATGAAGTTCACGGCAGATAATTCCAAGTTGCAATCTCTTGTTTTATAGTGGCTTATTATTGGAATCTGAATCCTGGTATTGTTCTATTTACTGATTATATTGGAACTATACTTTTAAACTTACTCTGGCGCGCGCGTGAGAGTGCGTGCATTCAGTGAGTTGTGCCTGCGGAGGTCGAGAGACAGCCTCTAGCCTCTCCCTCCTCAACAATTTTGATCGGCATCATTGATTTTTTGCTCTCTTGGGACTTATTCAACTTGAATGTGAGCATCAAGTTTGCCTCCACCACCGCTTCATTCACATCATTCCACTCTTAAATCGCAGACTAAAATACTTCCTTACATCCCTATGTCTTCATGTATCTTCGGCATCCACTAGTGTCCAGCTGATTATAGTTTATCTACTTTATTAATTCCTTTTAAGATTATTTGACGCCGTAATCATGTCTCCTCCGCCAAGATCGTCGAGTTCAATTCTTTTACCCTTTTATATTGCAGTTCTTTCAGTTCTGTACCAGCCTAGTTGCAAACATTTTAATCTGTTTCGAGTTTTTGCAATCTTGATATGAGAGTTCCATGCTGGGCCGCACACTTATGACTGGCCTCACGTAATATGTTAAGTGCTGATGGATATTACAAAATTTTTTTTTAAATTTTTACTAATCAAGTCGCTGATGTTGTACAGTTTGTATATAGTTCTAATGACATGCTTGCTATTATATCTGCCCACAGGATGGTTCTTTTCATTACTGATATTTGTGACTTCTCTCCGCCAGTGTTGTAAACTCTCACAAGTTTATGTCCTTCACTCCCATCCACCTCAACTGTTGTAGATGAATGGTTCAGTGAACCGACAAGTTATTTTCTGTACATGTTGGCTCAGAAAATTCACTGCTAATATTTCCATAAGATATACTTTCCATATTTCTGCCATTTAAAGAATAAAAATGCCATAATACCTTTTAAATATGCCCTTTAAATCCGGATTATACATCACTGCCGCTGTTTTCTCTCTCAAGAATATTACAGAACCTACTGTATATTTCAACAAGTAATCAGTTAACCCTTTACCTGGCAGGACAATATATTTATACTCTTTTTAAATCGCGATATTGTGAACCCTGTATAACCCTTGTAAAGAATCGGCGCCTAAAAAAAAATTCATTTACAACTGAGAAAATAACTCGTGATGGGCCGTAGATCAGAAATGTGCTATATGAGTGGGATCTTTTCTATTTTCTAATTCGAATTCTGGGTAATCTGTGTTTATATCAAATATATGATTTATGCAGATGGGAGACGTACTGAATAAATTATTATAATCATGGGGGAGCACTAAACCCGTAGGATTATGCAGCGCCTGTGGGGAGGATGTGGAAGGTATTTAGGCTTAATTCAGGGAACTGGAGCACAGATCCAATTCTCCAGATCAAGAGCCCCTCACCAGCATCAAGGAACCACCCTTGAGGGGAGGTACTGAATACAAACATCTGGGTCTTCCACTTTGGTCATCCAGAGGCTGCTGAGTGTTCACTCACACATCGTAGAATTTTTTTTTAGCTGTTTATTATTCTTTCTTAGTGAACCTCATGTGAGTAACCGGGTCAGTTCTTGAGCCGGTTCTTAACTTTGATTTTTCCAACACCCGTCACACTGCAGCAACACCCCTCACACAGCAGCAACACCCGTCACACTGCAGCAACATCCGTCACACTGCAGCAACATCCGTCACACTGCAGCAACATCCGTCACACTGCAGCAACACACGCCACACTGCAGCAACACCTGTCACACGGCAGCAACACCCGTCACACTGCAGCAACACCCGTTACACAGCAGCAACACCCGCACACTGCAGCAACACCCGCCACACTGCAGCAACACCCGCCACACTGCAGCAACACCCGCCACAACAACCACCACCATGGCGGCTCATCCAGTATATTAGAACTGGCTGACTAAAATAGCGACCAGGGACTTCCAAAATTAATTAAATTTATTATATTTCGATTTAATGAAGATGACTTGTTAGTGCAGACTTAATCACGGACGGAGGACCACGGACGTCATCAAAATATCGGCTTGGACATCATCGTTCGAAATGAAAGCATGATGATAATATCGGCTCTCAGCTGCTTGGTCCACGTCTATTGCCGATAAACGCAGGTTGGGCACGTCTCTTGCTAATTGACGTGCGACACGACATCATAATGTCGAAGCCGATAAGAAACTGTATATTAGCCTGTCATGATGATTCATGCATAGATCGTTATACTACGATGATATGGTTTGGATTCTTATGCTACCATGATATGGTTTGGATTCTTATGCAACGATGCTGACAAATATATTTGGTGACGAAGGTGGAGAGAACAGTTTTCAGATTAAGACTAAAACCTTAGATGTGGTCTTAGTGTTCCACAAGTCTGGAACCATGAGAGAAACTGAAGAAATAAAGCATTAATAAAAGGCTTTTATTCACACAACTATCATTACATCAATGAATATTAAATGTCTGATTTAGGTTTTACATAGAATGGAGTGGAGTTGTGGAGTTCGGAGTGGAGGACCACAGGGAGAGTGAAGGAACATCAGAGAGGGAGGGAGGTTGTGTTTCTGTATGGCTCCATCTATTGTCATCATATGTAACACAAACGTCTTTATCTAAATACTCTTCACTTACATGATTTAATGTAAACACTTGGTCTACACATCCTTACCATTCTTCAAGCCTTCTTGTTCATCTGCTATTCTGCTTCCCGTCTTACCTTAAATTCTTTCAACAATAATTATACCATACAACTTACCAGGTATACTCAACTGTAATTCTTACACTCTCTTCTGTGCCCTTTGCCTTTATACAAAGGAACTATACATACTCTACCAGTCCCTTGGAACCTTCCCTTCTTTT